ATATGATCATGTGGACAATGAGTATCCCTCAGGATTTGATCTTAGGTTCACTGTTGCTTATTTTGCAACTCTGTTTTTGGTTTATTTAACTTCTTCCTTTCATTTTAAGTTATATCTTCAGCAAGTTATTCCAGTTTATTTTTCTGCCTTGAACTTTGAGTGTGTGTGTGTGTGTTGAATTCATTTGTTGAATGAAAGTTTTAGAACATACTTAAATAATGTTTCACTCATCTAAAAGTAGAATGCTTTGAATAATGTTATTAGCAATTTACGCTGATTTTAATCTCCTAGATCCAAAATTCAAAAGTAGTATTATTAATATTGACAAAAAATGGTGCTACCAACTTGAACTTGAAAGAATTCAATAATTTACTTGAGAAGTCCAGCAGAGAAATCCATTATTTTCCTGGATCAAAATATCTTGAAAATATATGTTTCTACTCTACTCATACCCTTCATTTTTATTATTATGCATGTTAAATGAATTTGTAATCACCATATTATTTTATAGCTTGCAAGTTCCCAGATTTTTTTAAATGAGCGTGTCTTTTTAGAGTAGCAAAACATTTGGATTTTTTAAACATTAGGGTTGGCTCTGACTCTGAAGGCTGACAGGACTCCTGACATCATGCTACTGACTGGAAAATATATTTTACCCAGAATTCTTCCTCCTCTTAAGAGTAAAAATTTCAACCTCATAATCACCTTCAAGCTTAACTGGTATTGAAACAAATCCTGCTATGCCAGTATGATTCTGAGTAGGAAGTAACAGTTTATTTAAAGAAGTATAGATTTCTGAGGTAAAAAAAATGTTTTTTCCCTTTCAACAGGCACTTTGCTGGCATTAAAACTTCTTAAATGGTAAAATAGACAGTTTTAAAAATTTCAGTAGGCTGTGGGGAAATTATTCCTTCTTGAGTCAGCCATTTGGAATTACCGTATATTCCTGCAAAGTCAAAAAAAGTTAGGAAAAACTTTGAATTAATGATATTTTGGAGTGACACGCTATTTTTATCTATTCATTCTGGTTGCTGTAGCAAGAAAGAAAGGAAGGGAAACAAATTTGGTATATTACGTATAATTTGTTTTATTTCTACATAGTATGAGAAGGGGCATACAAAATACAGGTAGTCCTCAAGTTACAACCACAACTGTTGCTAAGTAAGATATTAAGATAGTAAGATATTAAGGAAATCTAGATTTTCCTTTGACTTTGCTTGTCAGTGTCAAGGTTACAAAAGATGATCACATGATCCTGGGACACTGCAACCATCATAAATATGAATCAGTTGCCAAACATCCAAATTTGGATCACATGACTATGGGGATGCTGCAGTGGTCTAAGTGTGAAAAACAGACATAAGTCACTTTTTTCAGTGCTGTTGTAACTTCGAATAGTCGCTAAATGAACTATTGTAAGTCAAGGACTACCCGTATTACTACAGATCCCCAGGTCTGGAGATTCTATCAAGATTTCACAAGGCAATTGGCCACGTGCTATTTGAAAGGGGCCCTTCTTTCAGTGTTACTCACTTTCACCAATTTTAAAATGGCTGAATGCTGACTGGGGGGATTCTGGGAACTGAAGTCCATCCATCTCTAAAGTTGCTGAGGTTGAGAAACACTGCAAGCTGGTATAAACATTGCCCAGAATTCTGCAAAATGAAATTCACACATCTGAGAGAGGTTGCAAAGATATAATCTAGAGATCGCTCTAGGTAGCATGGGCAACATTCATGTCTCTTTTAATCATCCTTTTTCTTTTTAACTATTTGAGCCACCCAGTCATTTTGCAATTAGGTGGTCTTCTAAGTCTAATATCAATAAAAATAAATAAACAAATAAACAATAAATAAACCAACAAACAAATAAACAAATAGGAAGGATCAGAAGAGATCTTTTTTAAAAAACTGAGCCCGCATAAGACTCAGGTTCCAGTTTGCATATTGGATAGAAAAGTTAGAATCTTAAAAGATAAGATGAAACATTGCTTTAAAAACAGAGCAAGGAGGAGAAAAATTAAAAATCAAAATGCTGGGTGTTTCACTGCAGCTGAATTTTGCACTTAGCTCAGCATGCTTATTGAGGGTTAGAAAAAGACAACCTTGAACTTTCCCTCCAATGGCACTTAGCTGTTAACCACAAGCATATTTCTCTATTTAGCTTATTAGCTCCTGCAGCCTAAGGTGAAGGGGGCACTGGCTGCTTTAAATTCTCCAATTCTCTCTCTCTTCTGCTCTTTCTCTCTCTCTGATTCTTTCTCCCTCTCTCCCCCCTTACTCCACCCACACACACTCACACTGAAATAGTCTGATGCAAACTTTTATGGCTTTAGGAATGGAAAAGGATGCTAAACAGTGAAGTGTTTCCCCAAGTGGAAGGAAGGAAGTCTCCCTCCTCCTTACATTCCACACAGAAGTCCAGGTTACTGTTTAAACTGACCCCAGGCTCCATGAGGTTAAAACCCTGGCATTACCCTTGGCACATGGCTGCTCTATCATCTTCATCAGGAACATCCCCGTGCTCACCCCATGCATTTTTGCCTGCCAACACAACACGTTTGTGCCGAATGCTCACACAACAGTGTCCACCCTGGCCTTTTAGTAGCAATTAACCTTTCTTCCAGGGTTCCTTTGAAGCTCGCTGGTGTTTTTCCTGCAAAATAGGAATGAGGATTTATATGACTATTCTTTTTTTTAATGAAGGGAAATGTCTAAACTTCCCCATTCCCTAATCTGTTCCCCAACTTAGACATAGCAATTATATTATTCAGTTCCAAACAGGGACAATTTTATCATCTGGAATTCAGAACAATAATTGTGTGTGTACAGCTTCCCATACTGAGGTTTTTGTGGGGTTTGATTCATACAGAGATAAATTATGCTGGGTAAGGAAATTAAGGGTGCTTTCCTCCCAACATCTGTTTTCAAAAAGATAAGAAGATCAAGACACAAAATACCTTTAGCACCCATGAGGATTTGCCCCTTTTACAAAACATAGCAGGATGCTTTGAATAACAAAGAAAACTTCTAATTAACAGAGAGTTTGAAAGTACACTCTTGTCTGACCCTGTGGCACCTGGATTATTTGGAACATATTTAGAAATGAAGTTATAATCAAATTAAACATTGAGAATTATTGCCTGGGAAACACTCTTAATGTTTCCTCATTATCCCCTGTAACTTGAACATCTTGTTTTAGCAAAAAGATAGCAATGAGATTTTTCACATAATTAAATAACTTATTTTTGTATATTGTCGACAGGGTGATTTATGTTCTCAAATCTTTTATCAGCTACTTTAATATTTAGTGATAAATGATGCCAGGCCCAGGGAAATCCATCCAGGAAACAATATGGAGTGTGGTGTGTGACATGTATCTAGAAACCCAATCTTCTTCTTTGTATACTAATTATCCTGTAATTGCTTAAGACTGTACCAATAAAGGAGCATATCTGTAGCTCAGGGTTGAAATGAGGGGTCCTTGGTGCTTTCTGAGCTGGGATGAATTTATTTATTCATTAAATTTTTATTCTACCTTCATCATTTTATAAATGACTTAAGATTTTATAAGTAACTTGAGATGTGGAACATACATACTCCTTCCTCCTCCTATTTTCCCCACAACAACAACCCTATGAGGTACATTGGACTAAGAGAAAGTAACTGACCCAATGTCAACCAGCAGGCTTTCATGCCTAAGGAAGGACTAGAACTCCCACTCTCCTGCTTTCTAGGCCAACACCTTAACCACTACACCAAACACTCTAATTTCTGGTCCTAAATTCATTCCTTTTCAGTCAGAAAGCTTGAATATCCAGGTTCAGGGTCTGAACATGGTTGTGCATCTAACATGGATCTAACAAAGAACACAATCCAATCCAAGACAGTTGAAACTTCATTACTTCATCACTCCATCTATCTTTCAATATATAAGGAACACTTCAACTTCTCTGGATTAAGTTATAGTTTCTTTGTCTTTAACCGGTCTGTTACAGTTAATTCACTTCCAGTTGGATTAATGAATAATGGACTTTATACAGAGATCTATGTCTGTAGTTGGTGGGATGACTATTTTGGTCTAATTTTTTCCTTCTGGTCAACTGGCTTGTCTTTTGTTTCCCGAACCTCTTTTGGCTTTAAAAGGATGACATTTGGAGAAGTGTGTTCTGCTATTAGAGGACTACAAATCTACACTCAGTTTCTGAAATCTTTTCATCAATAGGAGTGCAATTAGTGGGCAAGACAGAGAGGGTATTTTAATTGCAGTTCCCAGCTGAAAACTAGCTTGTCAAAACAGGTTTGTCTGAACCCCTTGACTATGCTTTAAAGAGTGCTACTAGCAGGCATTTTTTGCTAAAACATTTGCATATTTATTTATTTACACATGCTTTTCCTGCTATTTTTTAAAATTTGTCTTATAGTTATTTATGAGTTAGGTCATTACATGAATGTAAAACAAATAGCAACTCTATTATAAAATACTCTCTTAAACAGAATTATATGCTGGGAAGTATCAGCTTCCAAGAGATTTACATTACAGGGGAATTATATTGAATGAATTCCAAGTGTAAATTTTTCAGGCTATGTATTGTCAAATGCTGTGCTATGGTGGGATTTGATTCTCTTTATTGCATCTGCTGCATATTCATCCTGAGAGTCGGCCAATCACAAATGTCCCATCTGAAACACTGACACTAATAATTGGCTAACTCTCAGGAATGGAATGCTTTCTGTTAACACAGGAATGGCCAAGATGTGGCCTTTCTAATTTTGTTGGATTATAAATGTTCTTATCCATCACCATTGACTATGCCAACTCTGTTGATTGATAATGGGACTCAGTAATATTTTGAGACCCACACATACCTACGTAAAAATAATTATGAACAATTATATAAACAAAACATTGGGGTATTATACAATCTAGGGGGGTAACACTAAAATCACTTTTCCAGTTCATCTTGTCATCTTGCTCTTGATGTTTTGAATCCTTTTCAGGTGAATGTTTCTATCAGAGTTTCCCTGAAATTCCAGTAGAAGAAACTCCTGAAAATGAGGGAGAGCCAAGCACTTTGTCACTCAGTGTCTGTGAACGGTCTTCTCCAGCAACATCAAGTGAAGCCTTCACACCAAAGGAGGGATCTCCTTATAAAGCTCCAATATATATTCCTGATGATATCCCAATTCCATCAGAGTTTGAGCTTCGAGAGTCAAATATACCTGGAGCCGGATTAGGGATATGGACAAAACAGAAGATTGAAGTAGGTGAAAGATTTGGACCATATGTAGGAGAACATCACCAAAGTCTTAAAGACACCAATAATGGATGGGAGGTAGGAAAATATCTGTCATTATAGTTTATTATCAGTTAACTATCTGTTATTAATGTTATTTTTACTATTTATTCTATTTCTCTTCTGCCTGCCTTACCAGAGGAAACTCTGTTTACTTTGAATCAAACAGCAGAATTCTCTACTGATAAATACAACCTTTTGGAAAAGAAAAAACAACTTCTGGGTTACACATTCAAATATCTCTGTTGGACTGAATATCAGAATACAGGGAAAAGTGATTACTACATAATTTGCTTTGACGAATAATTCTTCTTCTTCTTCTTCTTCTTCTTCTTCTTCTTCTTCTTCTTCTT